TCGAGTCAGTATTTGACTCGGATCGAGTCAGTTCCATGCGAGTCGAAGCCCATAAAGTGTTTTGGGCTTCGCTGATGTTTTGACTCGGACCGAGTCAAAGTTTTGACTCGGACAGAGTCAACTCTAAATGGACCGAGTCAAAACTTGATGATGGGCTTGGGCTGATTCGTTCTGACTCGACCGAGTCAAAGTTTTGACTCAGACCGAGTCAAATCTCGGAAAAGTGGGTTTCAGACTTAATATAAGGATTATGGGACGCCGTCCTAACTAAGAGAGAGTTATTCTGAACTCCTAGACAGATCTAGAATACAAGAGAAATCGTTCTTTTGAGGTTCTAGTTCCCGGGATTCGATCCCAAGTGTCGGAAACCCTATTCAATTCACAGATCCTAGCAGATCAGTTCCAAAAGTGTTTGGAATCCTTCCCGTCGGTGTGGATACGTGTAGAGGAGCTGTACTTTCAGCTCTTGGTGATTAAAACAGACCCTGGATCGATTACTACTTTCAGATCTTCAGGAAAGAGGTAAGTATTCGATTCCTACGGTGATATACACGATATGTTCGGGTTTTGTGAGTTTGGTTGCGTGTAATGTTTGACTAGGTTAGATTATGCTTCTGCTGCATGAAACCTAGTAAACCAAACCCTAGATCGATATGATCGCATGCTAGAAACCCGTAGCGACGAAAACCCAACATCATACGTGTATATATGTCTTGTAAATTACATAATGCAAGATACAGAAAACCATTTTCCCAAATCTGTCGTTCAATTAATAGATTATATGATGAATTAAATTCAATATTTTTATTTTTGAAAATTTTGGGAAATATAATATATATTAAAACTATAAGTATTTTACCTGAAAATATTCAAATAAAATATTACAGTTTAATATTTATGTTTTGGAAGTTTCGTTAAAGATATAATATATTGTTTTTAACATTATTAATATTTTATCTAAAATAATTCCGATGAAAATTTGATAATATATCAAACGTTCGTTTATTTATGTATACTTTAAATATTATGAATTTATATTTACATGGGAACAAAATTATGTATTTTTTTAAATGTGATATTTTTCAACATCTTGTTTCATGTATGTAGTATATATATAACCAAACCAAATATTAGTATTTTAATTCTTGTTTATCATATTCTTCGAAATATAAATCGACTCATCTTTTGACAAAAATGAAACCTTGCACGGCTTTCTTTGTTCACTTAAATTAGATCTTAAATCTAAATAAAATATCAAGGAAAAGTAGGGGAAAACCCTTTATTATTGTTTTGCCCGACAATTATGGAGCCACCCGAAAAAAAGGTACAAATATTCAATATTTTTTACGCTTCAACTTTTTAAGTACACAAAATAAAAACGTAACAAAATATTTATGATGTATTTTTTTAAAAAAATTGAGTTTATTTTGGTTATAAATATGATTTTGAATATATATATATATAAGTATATTTAAAAAATTGATAAAAAATAATTAAAAATATAAGGATTTGGGTACCCGTTGATACCCGGTAATTATCTTACGAGTTTTAAAATTCGGATACCCAATTTTACAGGTACGAATTAGGGTCATAAAATTAATAACTCGAGATATTTGGATTCGGATACTCGTGGATATCCATTAATTATCTTAATGGTTTTAAATTTGGGATACCCATTTTACGGGTACGAGTTAGGATAATAAAATCAATAACTCAGGATATTCGGATCTGCAGCCTCCCCTAATTGGTTCCTCATATAATTTTTGGATTTTGTACAAAAATAAAAAAGGATAAATCCGATAAAATTTCTCAAACTATCCAAAATTATAAAACCAACTCTTTTACCTTGACGTTTAGCCTCGTTAACTAACATCTTGTATAATCATTTAAGATTTACACGTCAACAATTCTTTTTAAAAAGAAAAATTTTAAAAATTATACAAACATTCATATACATATATGTATGGATTTAACTTGCCGGAGAAGTTTCTCGACTATGAATAAGAAATTAAGTCTCTTCAATATCAGACAAAATCTCTTCCAATCTTCATCGCGTTATTCATAAGTCTGATTTCCCATATTGGACGTGTTATGTTGTTCAAGCATATGTTTACTCTTTTATTTATGAGTTCGAATCCGACCCAGACCCGTCCATGTCCATGTCCATGTCCATGCCCAGGTTCCAAAATTTACGAGTTCGAATCATATCTAGACATACATTTGCATGAACGAATTCTTCTGGGAAAACCCAAAAAAAAAAAAAGCATATATAAATCTCAGGAACAAGAAGCTTTAATACCTGAGGGAAGTGGCAGAAACATCTTAGATGGTGATGCCCAGTGACTTCTTGAACCTCTCCACTTCTAAAAAGACCGCCGAGTAAGGAAGAAACTCGGAGAAGTGATCTCCGCTCAGGTGGTTAATGGCGACCGCAAGTTTCGAAATCTCTAGGGTTTCTTCGTTTGTCAGCCGTCGGATGAGCCTTGCCGGGTTTCCTCCCCACAGTTCACCCGACGGTATTCTTCTGCCCGGCGGCACCACAGAGCCTGCCTCCAGTATCGAGCGGCTCTCCACCAGTGAACCTTCCATTATGATTGAGCGCTGCCCGACGACGCACTCTGGCTCGATCGTGCATGATCTCAGGAGACTGTATGCTCCCACTGTCACGTACCTATCAATCAATGCCTCCGCGGGTAATCCTGAAACGAATGGAGGAAAGTTACACCTGGAATCGGTTTCTTATGGCATCATATGAGAATGGCGTGTGAGTAGGGCTGGGTAATATAAAAAACACCCCAATTTGCTAGTATATGAGATGAATCAGACATAAAGTATAGTAGGAATAGAACGAACTCTAATCATCAATCACCCTCTGCAGAAAACCTATAAGCTATATCCAAGATATATAACTACAGTCTCTGCGAATATCAAAGAGTGCTCCACCCCGGATTGGATTCGAACCTCCACCCTGACAAATCACATAATATCAAAAAAAAAACCGACACAATCTTTATGGAAGGGGAAAATGACGAAAACGAAGGTTCAAAGTAATCTGAGACAAGTTTCTTGCTTCCTGAAGAAATTTACATTATCTGCATCCTCTTCTATCTAAGCTCAACAGAGCACAGGAGATCAACAGCCATATGCTCAAGTGCTCCCTGTCTGAACAACCATTGTTCATGAGTTCAAACTCAGTAGACTAATGAAACCTATTTTTTTGGACAACCAATTCGATTAATCATGCTTTTAATCCTTCGGAAACAGTAAATGTTATTATAAACACGAGTTTCCGAAATAATTTCCAGGGACGATCATGTTGAAATTTTTTTAATATATATTATATTTCCCAAAAATTTCAAAAATATAAATATTGAATTATAATTAATCATATAACCTATTAATGACAACGCAATATGGATTAAAACGGTCCACATGACCAACACAGTTTCAATCGTCGATGAAATAAAAATGGTTGTAAGCCGAGGAATACGACTACAAGAAACCGTAAGGCGAGACGAGTGATTCCTTGTACGGATACGGATACGGAAACGGGCCACATTCGACACGGTAATCCATATCGAACTTTGTGAAAACGTTTTCTCTGACGTCGAATGCAGACAGCCTTACCACTTTCGGCTTCCACTCATCCCGATCATATACTTTGACAAGCACCTCCATGGCCTTTGCATCGCACTCCACAATGTATTGCTCGAAAAACCAACTTCGTCTCGACAATTTGAGATCATCTATTGTCACCGTGAATAAGTTGCTCCAAGACTCCACTCTACTCTCACCTTTATCAAACTGTCCACCCCAAACGCTGATCTCGTTTGCCCTCGTATGGGCCGGTTTGTTCGCCACACAGATGTATCTTCCTATCGCCATTAGAGGACCGTACACAACCCGACCATCAGCGGAAGGGCACGAGAAGCATTTGAACGTCTCCGACACGACATCAAAGCTCATTATTAAGTTGTCACACTCTGTGCGATGCCAAACCAGCCAGAACATATGATCTCCTAACGAAACTCCTACCTCAGAGTCGCCACGGTCTTGGAAATCATACGGTGGGGAATCAATGGCCCTTGACCCACTCCTTAACGAGATGATTTCGGCCCGACCCACGGAAGAGGAAGTGAACAGAACTATCTTGTGATCATCGGTCGAATGATCGTAACCGAAACCGATGTTTTCTAAACCCTTTCTCTCAGCCGTCGTAGGCAGTATATCTCTTAGTTCCCTGAGTGCGGGATTCCAAATGGCCAGAGACTTGTCTGTGAAACGAAGACAGATGAGTCCGTTGCTGTAAAGAACTGACTTCACACGCTTCTCAAGTAGTATCTTGGTTCTATTACCAAGGCGACTGTAAGAAGTGGCTAAATGATAATCCCCGTGCGAAATAAACTTCTGTCGGGAACATGCCAAGTGTTTTTTGATGAATTGCTTGTCTTCGATCAATGATTTCCATCGTTTGCATACGCATCTGAACCTTAATAAATCCTTCGCCGGCACTCGTGCCAAAATTTCTTCGACCAATTCGGAGGGGACTTCGTTCATCGTCAGTTTTAGACTCTTCCTCCTGGTTGTGATGTCATGTAATTGTTAAATTCATAATCAATATAAAACATGTATGAATAAGATCTTACCTGAATACACAGAAGAATCTTCCTAGGGTTTGTTTTGTCTCTCTGATTTGCTTCTAGCTTTAGAAGAAAAGGTTTTTTTACTATAGAGTTTTGGGAACCCTAATTTATAGTTAAATACGGATTTAATAGAAAAACCTATTCCAAAAATTTAGGGTTTCCATTTTTTTAATGTCAACCTCGGCCCATTAGGTAATTGGACTACCATGTGGGAAATTGATCCGATTTAATGGACTGTCTCAATAAATAAATCGAGCCCACGAGACAGCCAATTAGGTAAGAAGCATATTTCAATGTATTATTTGGATGATATAAATTATGTAATCCACCACCACATGAAACAAACCCTAAATCCCGGATAGCCTTATTCTTATTAATGTCATATAGCCGTATCAGCATTTCTCCGGCGAAAGTTAGGGATTTTCCCTCCAAATTTCTCTTCGCATTCCTTGCGCTGTTTTTTTAAGGTATTTTTTGAGAGGCTATTTAGTTAATTTAATGGGTCATAGGCCCATTACATTTTGGGTCTAATTGAAAGCCTTTTTTAAACAGCACGGTCCGAGATTTCTTATTGGGACTAATGCTCAATAAACCGAACGGTTTTTCCAAACCGGATCGGTTCAGAATCAAACCATTTGAAATTGGAAATTCTTGCTAATTTGTTCCGCAGATCGAGTTGGCAGCAATTTACCAGCCATATCGAATCCGGAACCGGAAGTAGCAAATAACATTCTAATCTCAATTGTCCACCTTACTTGTCCCACAAGAAACCCCTAAAACTGAATCTCTAAACTTCTTGAAAGCTCTGCAAATCAAGAAACCCTCAAAATGGTAGAGAAGTTCGAGCATGTGGTGACGAAGAACGACCCTATCTTCATCCCTCCGGCGAAGGAAACGACCAAAGGGGCTATACTACCTCTCGAATCTCAATTAGAACATTGCCATCTCGGTGAAAACATTCTACTACTTCCAATCGGATAGGAGATCGAACCGAGAATCCAGACATGTCATCAGAAAATCTCTGTCGGAAGTTCTTGTTCACAACTATTTGGGTGCGGGAAGGCTCGCGATAAGCCCGAGGGGCAAAATTGATGTGGATTGCACCGGTGAAGGAGGTCTTGTGGCGAAGCGAAGTCAAATATAATGGCATAGAGAAGATCAAAGGTGCTATTTGGGATTCTCCGGAATCTTGTTTATGAAGTCAAATATAGCGGCGGCGACGGTGATGGCGGTGGTTGTGATATACAACCCGGCGGAGAAGAGGGTGGAGAGGGTATACTGGTCGGTGACTGCGAGTGACGTCATGGGCTCGCACCCTGGTCACTACGTAGCCATGGTTGTCACGTCACCCACCTTGAGGAACGACAACGGTTCACCATTGAAGCATCTCGACAGACGAGGAGAGGAGGAGAGGTTTCAGTTTGTCTCGATAGATTTCTGATTTAGGGTTTCCAAACCCTAAATCCCTTTTTTTTTAAAAAAATCAGTTAAGCAGAAACCGATTCAAAATTTTTAACCGATTCCACTAATCCGATTTGGTGATGTGTCATGTTACATATCTCGTGACGTGACATATTTTATGATGTATTAAACCACATCATCAATCAGACAATGATTTGGCATAGTTAATCCTTTTTATGTGGGTAATTGGAAAAAATTTTCTTATTTTGTGGAGGGTAATTGAAATTTTTTTTTCCTATTTTGCGGAGGAAAATGAAAAAATTTGAAATCTAAGTGTGAAAAATTATCAAAATAAAAATTGATGTACTAATATTACATATTTGGTATAATTCGTGCGGGTTTATGCCCTTTTCCGTTAATTTAGAATTTTAGATTGAAAGCCCTGTTTTTTAAAGTAGATTTATTCATACCTAATAAAGTACAGGAGCGTCTGAATATTCCGAAACGAATCAAAATGTTAATCGTATTTTTTTTTAACTTCCATAAAAATGAATTACTGAAAAAACAAAAGTCAAAATGTTGACTTGATCCGGATTACGGGTCGGGCCGGGTATCATACCCGGTTCGGGTATATAAATCCCGCTGGATCGGTTTTCCTCACCCATCGCCTTATCTTTGTTGACTCTCTCTAAGGCGACAACCAGAAATTAAGGCCGACGAGAGGAACAGATAGCGAGATAGAGAGAGAGAGAGATTGGGACAATGGCGGCGACGCTTACAGGAGCAGGAACTGTGCTAGGATTTTCGCGTTCCTCCAAGGTCTCGACGAGAGCTTCTCCCTCCTCGTCGTCCCGGTGCAACCGGTGCTGCGTCAAAATGTCGGTCTCCTTGGAAGAGAAGAAGAAGAATTTCTCTCTTCAGAAGTCCAAAGAAGCTTTCGATGCCGCCAAGGTAGGGTTTTCGTTCTATTAGTCTGATTTTGTTTGGAAGCTGGGGATTCTTGTTCTGATAAATTGTATTTTCGTTCGATTTTGGGATGTATGTACTGGTGGGAACATTCTGTGATTTAATGTTTCGTATTGTCTTGAAAATGATGAAATTCTGTGAGATCGAATTTGAAAACCCAAGAAATTTGTTCTAGTTGCAACAATCCTGATTGTGAAGATTTGATATGTAAATATCTCGAAGACTTAAACTCGGTGATTTGGTATCCCCCATCCATGGTCGCAGTCTTAGGGATGTAATCTTTCCTAAAATCATCCTTGCTGATTATGAAATGCTTATGTTTCATCACCTTTTTTCCGAAAAGTAAATGTAATAGCTAGATAATGTAGTGAGTTACTCAAGAGGTAGGGTAGCTCCATCAACATTGAAAAATTTTCAGGTATTGTGATTTTCTCCGACTTTCAGTTGAATTATTGTTCTCCTTTGCTCATTATAGACGTCTGTTTTTTCATGTTAGATGTTATGACTTGCATGTTAGTGTGAGTGACTGGCTTGTACTGATCGTGGTTTGTGTTCAGAGATTCGAATTAGTGTTTTATTTTAATCCTGGTGCTGGAAATGGGTTGGCTTTGTGTAGAATTTGATGCCTGGAGGTGTAAACTCCCCTGTCCGTGCCTTCAAATCCGTCGGCGGACAGCCTATTTTGATTGATTCTGTGAAGGGCTCTCGGATGTGGGACATTGATGGAAATGAGTATATCGACTACGTTGGATCTTGGGGACCAGCCATAATTGGCCATGCTGATGATGAGGTTCTTCTTTCTGATTTTTTCTTTCTGCGTCTGGAAGGCTGAAGATAAAATATGGATTCTGAAACTTGTGTCTTCAAAATCCCACAAATTATGTGCGCCTTGAGAAGCAACCACCTGTTTATGATTTTAGGTACTGAACTCGTAGTTGGTTAACTGTATGGAGTGTAGGTTCTTGCAGCTCTGTCAGAGACAATGAAGAAAGGAACAAGCTTTGGTGCACCTTGTCTGTTAGAGAATGTTCTGGCGGAGATGGTGATATCAGCTGTCCCGAGCATTGAAATGGTTCGATTTGTCAACTCGGGTACTGAAGCATGTATGGGTGTTCTCCGGCTCGCTCGTGCATTCACTGGCAAAGAAAAGTTCATCAAGTTCGAGGGATGCTACCATGGCCATGCCAATGCTTTCCTTGTCAAAGCAGGCAGTGGGGTGGCCACCTTAGGCCTACCTGACTCGCCAGGTGTCCCTAAAGCAGCTACTTCGGATACATTGACAGCCCCATACAATGATATTTCGGCTGTTGAAAAGCTCTTTGAGGCTAATAAAGGCGAGATTGCTGCCATCATTCTAGAACCGGTTGTTGGTAACTCTGGCTTCATCCCTCCTAAACCCGAGTTCATCAATGGTCTGCGCCAGATCACCAAGGACAATGGTGCCCTTCTCATCTTTGATGAAGTCATGACGGGTTTTCGTTTGGCTTATGGTGGAGCTCAAGAATACTTCGGCATCACACCTGACCTGACAACTCTTGGGAAAATCATCGGTGGCGGTCTTCCTGTGGGAGCCTACGGTGGAAGACGGGATATTATGGAAATGGTAAGATGTGCTCTGCTTTATTAAAATGACATGAAAACGTCTTGAATTTATATGAATCTAGAGAAGAATCATTATCCTCAATAAAGTTTGGGACATGAGTATTTAATTTATGATATAACAAGTCAGTTTTTTTTTCATGTTCGTAGAAATTTTTCTACAATTGCTGTACTCAATTCTTTAGATCGTTCTACATATAACATAATCATTAATATAATTCCTGTTTTCTTACAGGTAGCACCTGCTGGACCGATGTATCAAGCCGGGACCCTGAGCGGAAACCCGCTGGCAATGACAGCTGGAATTTACACACTTAAGCGGCTGAGGCAACCGGGAACGTATGAATACTTAGACAAAATCACAAAGGAACTTATCCATGGAATCCTAGAAGCCGGGAAGAAAACAGGACACGCAATGTGTGGGGGATACATAAGCGGAATGTTCGGGTTCTTCTTCACGGAAGGACCTGTCCACAACTTCTCGGACGCGAAGAAGAGCGACACCGAGAAGTTTGGAAGGTTCTTCAGGGGAATGTTGGAAGAAGGCGTGTACTTTGCACCTTCTCAGTTCGAAGCTGGGTTCATGAGCTTGGCCCACACACCCGAAGACATCGAATTCACGATCTCGGCCGCCGAGAAGGTCCTCAGCCGGATCTAGAACCATGTGAGGCTTCTTGCTCTTGCTCTCTGCCCGAGTTTCTTTTGATCATGGCTGATGTGTTTTTTTTTTATGTTGCATGTTTGGATCAGATGAGAACCCTTGTGTAGGGAGTTCATATTTGTCCGTAGCCAGACATTTTTGTATGATATATATATGTGATTAATCTGTACTGTAATAGTTTTTGGGGATTTTTGACATTTGGTTTAATCGGAAAACAACGTATTTTTCATAGTTATACAGTTTTGTTTTGAGAAAGATTACATTGATATGATGTGTAATTATGGTAGATATCTCCGGTTTTGGGTGGTTTATTTTCTTTTCTTTAGATTTTTTCAATTTTGAAAAATTATAAATATTTTTTTTATATTGACTTTCCATTTAAATTGTTTGGATCTGGTTCAAATTCCAATTTTCTTTTGGGTCAATGGCCGAAAAATATTTTCATGATCTCAATTTAATACATTTTAAATTATTGATAAAAAAATTACTATTGTCAAATAATCGTCACATAAACAAATCATCGCTACATCATCGTCACGTAAAAATAAAATAAAAATTTTAAAATAATAAATAAATTGATAATAGTAAATACAAATAATAAAAAAATACACACATATATATATATATATCAATACAGAGTGGCGGACCTTAAAAAAATTATTAGTGGGACAAATGTTAATACATAATATCATTTTAAAAGAAAAAAATATAACAAAAAGAGAGAAGGGGGTCTAAATTTTTTTTAATGGGCATTTTATTGTTTGTTGCTAAAAATTCATAAAATTACAAGTAAATTAAGAATTTGGATGAGGACCTAGGACCCCACTCAAATATGAATGGGTCCACCCATGTCAATACATATATATACATATATATGCATATATACATATATATATATAAACATATATATATCAATACATATATAAATACACATATATATACATATACATACATACATATAAACACATACACATACATATATACATATATATATATGCATATATATATATACATATATACATATATAAATACATACACATATAAATATGCATATATATATATGCATACATATATATACATACTACATCTATATATATACACATATGTATATATGTGTATATATATGTATATGTATCCGTATATATGTATGTGTTTATATGTAGATGTGTGTATATATATGTATATATATGTATGTATATATATATGCATATATCTATATATATGTATATGTATATATATGTATGCGTATGTGTGTATATATAATATGTGTGTGCATTTTTGTATTTTTAAAAATTTTAATTTTATTAATTTATTATTATTAATTAATTTATTATTTATTAATTTTTAATTTTATTCTTACGATAATGTGGCGATGATTTAGAGAGAGGTTGAAAATTTTTATCGTCACGTAAGATTTTCGTTTGTCTATGTGACAATTATTTGACGGTAGGAGTTTTTGGACCAATAATTTAAAAGTATAGTATTTGTTTTTGGATAAGTCAATTGTACAAATGTTTTTTAGCTTAAAAAAAAAGAAGATATTAAACTGAGATCAGAAAAAAAAAGAAAGATACAGGTATTTCTCAATGATTACCCCTATTATAAATAATAATTGGAAGATGTACACATTGCAAATAATGATGCACATGCATATCTTTCTATATAATATCATTCGTACACTTTTGGTATGTTTACTATTCATTAATATATTATTTTAACTAATTAATATTGTATCTAATTCAAATGTTATTTGGTATCAACATTTTTTTTATAAACGGTATTTTTATCTTTAAATATTACATGTATTTTTGTTTTGAAGAAACTAAATATCAGTATCGTGTTCATACATCATATGGAAAACTCTCAATTTAACAATGTTTGATTTGCATATTTGGAGATCAATTTCCAAATGTATGTGTTTACATTGCATATAATTATGTTTTCATATAGACATCTCTAAAAATATAATATTATTCGTACAGTTTTGGTATATTTATTATTTATTAATATATTATTTTAGCAGATTAATATTATATCTTAATTCAAATGAAACTTTTTTTATTGTAATTCTTGTAGGACCTAAATTATGTTTTTAAACATCTTTTAATTTGTATGCTCATTATTCTATAAAAACCACGTATAAATGAAATTAGTTTTTAAATTAAAAAATATTACAATATTCGTACAATATAAAAGAGAAGTCACAAAACAAATTTAAATATTAGAAATATTTCAATTTAGTAATTTTTTATTTGCATATTTGGAGATCAATCTCCAAATGTATATGTTCACATACACATCTCTCTATATATAATATGATCTACAAATCAAATTATCCTCACACCATCAATCTCCAAACCAATTAGAGCAAATGGCTCCTGAATTCATTTTTCATCTATTTCTCATTTGCATGCTCATATCACAAACCCAAATCTACTATCTCTTCACATCCACTACCCAAAAGTTTCCATCGTAAGTGTCGTATTCGGATAGGAAGCTCCTCCAAAGTCTGATGACCACGGCCAAGGCCAGTCTTGTGGTAGCAAAGGATGGGTCCGACAACTACAAAGTGTGTCCGAGGCTGTATCGGCGGCAACGAAGTTCTCCACCGAAAATATATTCATCATACATATGAAAACCGGACTGTATAAGGAATACATCGATATAAGTGCCTCTATGAAAAACATGATGTTGGTCGGCGACGACGACAGATTCGATTCTATAATCATCATCGGCAATAAAAATCTTTTTGACCCATAAACTGACATCGCATATTATATATATATATATATATATATATATATATATATATAATATAAAAATATATTATATATATATCTACACACATATATATATATATAGCAAAGGATGGGTCCGACAACTACAAAGTGTGTCCGAGGCTGTATCGGCGGCAACGAAGTTCTCCACCGAAAATATATTCATCATACATATGAAAACCGGACTGTATAAGGAATACATCGATATAAGTGCCTCTATGAAAAACATGATGTTGGTCGGCGACGACGACAGATTCGATTCTATAATCATCATCGGCAATAAAAATCTTTTTGACCCATAAACTGACATCGCATATTATATATATATATATATATATATATATATATATATAAACTATAATAACATATTATATATATCTATCCACACCTATGTATATATATATATGTACATATGTTATTATAAATAATAATTGGAAGATGTACACATTGCAAATCACGATGCACATACATGTCTTTCTATATAATATCATTCGTACACTTTTGGTACGTTTACTATTTATTAATATATTATTTTAACTCCAACCTATCGGTGTTCTACGACATTTACGGAACCATCGATTTCATACTTGGGAGCGCATACGCTATCTTCCAAAGATGCAATATATATGTCTGACATCCCATGAACGACCAAAAGAATACAAACACCGCTCATTCCCGCAATGATCCTGACGAGAACACGAGAATCATCATCCACCATTCCACGATCACGACGACGGAGGATGGGACGACCATTGGTGAGTTTAAATATCTAAGAATAAAGTTGTTCATATATTTATACATACCTATGCATAAATATATATGTATATATATATATGTATTTTATGTATGTAAATATTATGTATATATAATATATTATAACCTAGTATATATATCTGTACACATCTATATATGTGTGTATATATGTGTAGATATGATATTATAAAGAAATAACCATCGGAAAACACCTGTATTTTTTTTCTGGTCTCAGTTTAATACCTATATTTTTTAGCTAAAAAACACCTATACAATTGGTTTATCCCAAAACAAATAATATATTTTTAAATTATCGGTCAAAAAATCTATATCGTCAAATAATCGTCACGTAGACAAAAGAGAATCCTACGAATACGTGATAATAAAAAATTTCAACCTCTCTCTAAATCACTAACACATCACCACCACATCAGAATAAAATTAAAAATTAATAAATAATAAATAAATTAATAATAATAAAATAATAATAATAAAATGATAAAATAAAAATTAAATAAAAATATAAAAAATATATGCACATACATATATATATATATACATATATACATATACGCATACATATATAAACGCATGTGTACACATATATATAGATATACGTACATATACAACACATACACATACATATATATACATACATATATATATATATACATAAATACATATATATATATACATATATATACACACATCTATATATAAACACATACATATATATACATACACACATATATAAATAAATATACATACATAAATACATATATATATATATATATTTATGTATTTATTTGTAGATGTATAGATATATGTGTATATATATATATTTATGTGTGTATGTATTTATATATGTATATGTTTATATGTATATATATATAATATATATGTATATATGTACGTGTATGTGTTTATATGTATATGTGTTTAACCGGTGAAATATTTAATAACAAATTGTATGTGTTTATATATGCACAAATTGACTTTTTAAATATTTAATAACGAACAAGTTGGAAAATTTTTAATAATTACACATTTGGTAATATATTTGTTTACTGAAAAGAAAAAGGGAGATAAATTATCGGGTAATATTATTTATAATTGTTCGTTAATTGGAAAATATACATATTACATTAAATTAAAAAGACGTAGAGAAATCTATTGCGGAAAATATATATCATCCGAGAATGTATATATTTCCGGGTAAGAATTCTCTGCTTCGCATACTTATAAACCCCAAAAAAAAGAGTACAAACAGAACATAAGGGTACAAGTACAAGTCAACAACGCATCGTCTCACTCTTATTTAGCGGACTGCTTGCCGTTTTTAACGTCCGATCCACCATCAATCTCAGCCGTTCGATTGTTGCAGTTACACGTGTTCCCTGGACGGACGACTGAGATTGCGGGCTCAGGAGAAGCTACTGTGCCCAGCTTCATCATATCGATGCTCACTTCGGGCAATTTAGCGGCCTCCACTTCTTTCTCAATCAAATCCGGCGTCCTTTTGCAGTATTTGTAAACCACGTAGAGGATCATTTGGAGTGCACCGAGAAGAAAACCAATCACATTTGGGAACTGCAAAAATATATATATATATATATATTAGAAAATTATGATAAATAAGCATACATTAGAGTGCTCAATAACAGGATAAGTGTTTTTTTAATTTATATACATATACCCATATATACATTATATATGTGTATATATAAATGCGTGTGTAGATGGGGTTGTAAAGGGAGCTTTATGGCAACACTTTGAGTGGCGTGTATATATGTAGGTTACGTTCAAATTATAAATTATCTGGTAGATAATAATATTATTATATATTATAAATATTAAACTCTTTTATAAAGGTGGAATCTTTAATGCTCCTTTAGCGTTTGTGGGATTATTTTTTATCGCAAACGACAGTACCAAACGAAAGGGGTTTGCTTTTTTTTTTTTTTTGATCCATATAATATAATACCATATCTCTTTTTCTATCTATGATTAGCCTCAGGTACATTGGTAACAAAAGCAGCCGCCACATCATGCAAATCTGTCTTTTCTTTATATTTCTGCAGTGATATGATAACGATGATGATGATGATGATGATGATGATATTAATGGTTCTCATACATGAACATGGTAGGCATATGTAGCATGTTATGTACTATATTATGAATTGAAGGATTTTTCGCATTTAATTTTTTCAAAGTTGTGCATGACTCAATGATGGTTATGGGTATTTATGTGAACTTGTTTACAATTGTATTTTTATTTTACGCACATAAACAAAAAATAAAAAAATAAAATAGAACGGGGAGAGAGGTGACTTACGGCAACGTAGAAGTCCTTTAGAGAAAGACCATAAAGAAACCAGACGACAGCACTGAGTGTAAGGGACAATGATAAGCTAAAGGGCATGAACTCTACACTTTTCGTCTTTATCACCACCCTCTGTATCCCGAAAAAACATATCAAATATCGATTATTTTATATATTCGAAACTTTTAATAACTTATATAATTAAAGACATACAATATAGAAACCTATACTTACGATAATACTCAAAGGTGCAGCGAAAACGCTGACCGAGAATCCGACACAGATTCCTCCTATGATCTTTGCGCGGGTCGACCCTTTTGCCAAGAATTGGCAGAGGAGGAGGATCAAGCAGAATCCTCCAAAGTTCATAAGCAGAAGCAACTTCAACGTAAACATCTGCATGTGCACCACATACAAATTGGATATTGATTTTGTATCTCATATATATATATATATATATATATATATATCAAAGGTGTATATATAACAGTTTTTGTCATTTTGTGTAAGCTATATTCAAGATCATAACGGGCACATACAACGGATATGTAACTCTAAGTACTTTCCATTACTAAACTTGAGATATATATATATATATATATATATATATATTTGATTTTTATGATATTCAAGATAAGAGATATATATATACACGTGCATATATAACGTGATCTTTCTTAAGGGTATGTGCGTATCCTATAATATGCATATGAACACGAATATATATAGTATACCCGAGCTTTCTTGTTGGCGAAGGCGATGAAGAGGGAGATGTAGATGGTCTCGATGAAGCAGCCGAAGGAGTTAATGGTGACGAGAAGGAAGACGTCGCTCTTCTGCGTAGCATAGTAAAGCCACAGCATCGCGCTGAAGAGCGCCACCACATACGGCAGCGAATGAAATCCTTCGGTCGACTTTTTCTTCCATATTCTATAGAAGGTCGTCCTAAAACATTTCGTAGAAAGGCAGATTGTTTAGACACATGTAATGAACTTGCGAATATATATATATATATGTAGGATACACATGCACTTTCATATGTATATCTCGTCGAGAATCAAAGAATATATATATATATATATGTATATAAGAGTAGATCGAGATGATATAGGAACTTACATGGGAGAGAGGAACACGCAGAAGGAGATGATGTTGCCTGAAAGAACACAAGTGTAACGAAAAAAAGTTATATTATATGATATATAAATATTTCATTAGATGATAACAGCCGAATATGAACGTGCAAACGAAAGTAACAAAAAATGAAGTGAATAGAAAATAACGAATGCTGTAATGACGTACCGAGTAAACCGAAAGCAAAGGCCCATGGGTTGTGAGTGTTGAAGATAGCCATATCGTACGGTTACGTGTGTTTCGTTTCGGGAATAAAATTTAATTTTTTTGTACGTGGGATGAGGAGGAGGAGGAAGAAGGAGGAGAGAGCTGTTTTTGGAAACCCTAGCTCCGTATATGTTTCTCTCAACGCAAGCTATGGCACGAGCTTCGATGTTTTGGGAGTTCACGTATATATAGTGGAGGAGGTAGGGCTAAGGAGTAAGGAGAGTGCGTGGGAGAAGAAAAAAAGATGAAATATTTGTGAATAATAATAATAATTTGAAAATATTAAAATAAATTAAAAGAAAATATTGTGCACTAGGACCATCATTTTTCATTATATATATATATATATTGTATCGTTTTCCGGCTTAAGAGATAACATCCATTAACGCATGTCGGTTTCGGTCGAGACAAAGCTCTTTCTCTTAAAGGATTTATGTCTAGATTCTATCTGGTTACATTTTGCACATATTTATTCCTTTCGATTAATACTCATGTCTTACGTATAGCCCAAATGGTGATCAAGTTTCTGTAGTCGGATATATATACATATATATATATAAATATATTAATTTCGTAAATGTTATAATCAGATAATCTGTCATTAATGTTCACGACAATGGATTTATGGTCAAAATTTCAATCACAAATTTGCAACCGATTTAGGACCGAAATTTTTAGCGATTAATGTATACCGACGGTTTTTCCGATGGAAATTGGTAAGGAAATATTTTTAGCGAATAATTCTTTATTGTCTGCAACAGAAAAAAATCCATTATGTAATCGAAATCTTTTATCGTGTATATCTATACATATACATATATATACACACGAGGGAAAAAAAATTTAGAAACCTATTTCTACACTAATGTATCAAATTAATAATTAATTGAATAAAAAACTAAAAAATGTAAGGAAATTAATCATGGGTACTTCTCTTGTGAAAGTGTAGGTAGGGGTGAGCATGAATAGTATATTCAGAATTTTTGAGATATATGTATTAATATCCTATCCATACAAATATTTAATTTTATTACCTATATCCGATTTTTATATTCGTAAAAATAACGAATATTTAGAAATATTCATATCCAATCTAAAACGTTATAAATATTTTAATTAAAATTAAATAACAAATTCAAAGACAAATAAAATATATAATTTATTTAATATAAAGATACTGACAATTTAAAATTTACAATTTAAACATTTTAAATCAACTCAAATATAGATACAATCATAATCTATTACATACAAATATATTTAAATTTCAAAATTCGAAATATTAAACATAATAAATCTTAATATTCAAAAGATTAAGCATCTTAAACCTCAATATATATAAAACATTTCTTGAATCTCCATAAAAAAACATATATTATGACCACCCCAAACTGTATGTATAATTTCAATAATTTACACGTATTTATATAAAAAGTTATACCTTACTAATGATTGTAATTTTGACTATTTCTATTTCGCTGTATAAGAATACTATCAATGAATTGTTCGAACCATGCAATTATGAATAAATGAAATAGAAACAAAATATGGAGATTTGATATGATTGATAATAATTAAAGGTATAATATCAATTAAGAATAAAATATATATCGTGATAATTATATTTTGCCTTATTTGTTTCTTTCGTATCTTTATTTCCTTGTTTCTTTCAATAACTTTTCCTATAAATGTATGGATTATTTTCATTGTAATGTAAGAAGAAAGAAGAGATGTAACAATAAAAGTGTTCCCGTTCTTTTCTCTTTTGTTCTTTCTTTCGAATTTAATTTCCGCATTTTATTTTTCAATAGATCGTGTCTTTTTTTCGTTTAAAATTATACATGTTTATCCGAAGATAAGCGTGGTGTATATCCCTTACCTTTCCAGTTATTTTAAAACCTAAATATTTGTAAATATAAAAGAAGATATAAACTTAGGATAAATAAATATATAAATATTTTATGTGTTGTTATAATAGAAAGTGGTAGGTGAAATATAGAAAGATCAAATACCCACCTCGATACGTATTATAAGATCTCGCATATGCTCACATTTTTGTTATTTAACATTAAAATGATTGAGTAAATTACTTAATTGAATTATTAATTTATTTTTGCTTAATTAACTAACACTTGAGGTAAAGTTTAATTATACCACGCGATTAGTCTGAGGTCACGAGCACTTGAACCTAGATAGATTAATATAATGTTATTTTGCAATTAAGTGAGCCACTTAATTATAAATGTGCAATTATTTGGAACGACTGTACCCATTGACGAACTCCGGATCATTTTCGGGGATTTAGGTGAACACACTCATCCACCACCTTCCAACACTTGACCCCCTCCATGGCCCTCTCAAAGGGCTGCATGCATTCGGAACCCCTTCACCCCCCTCACCACTCTCCTTGCGTAGTCCATTCCAGGGGCGGAGAGTGGGTTTCCGTATTACCCTTTATCAAAATTTTAATTCAGTTACATATTTTTTTTTAAAAAATTAATGAAAAATAGTAAAATACCCCGTAAAAAAAAATTAGGCTCCTTCCACTCTTCTTTCCTTTGTTTCCTGAAACCATTTAAATGGAGATGAACAGCCGTATGCACAGTCAGAAACTTTCTCACGAAAGTATTTTGTTTCGCGACATTGGTAAATCTATTCGATGCAAAATAGCGTCCATTAGACTATCTAAACCTTCTTTGGCGAGTGAATTACTGCAATTTTGGTTTAGTAATGGCTAAATATCTTTTGTGAGCATTTTCATTGAGGATTTGTTTCCTATTATTCTTGTAATTATATCTTAATATCCAAAACCTCCTCGCCGTGTAATAATCTTCTTCTAATGCAAATACCTTTATAAAAAAAGTATTTTTTGAATTCGTTCCTAGTCAAATATGGATGTCATTTTTAGAATAAATGGTATATAAAAATCCGAACTTTTATAAAATTTCTAAATAAATATCTGAACTTTTCAAAACTTTCACATAAATATCCAAACATTTAAAAATTTATCAAATAAAATAATATTCATTCATGACTAAGTCATCAATTATTGACAAATTCCGTTATAAGTTTAATGACATTAATTAATTTTGATTTTATTTGGTAACTTTTTAAAAATCTATATAAGAATTTTATAGTTTAATTATTTATTTTGTGAATTTGTAAAATTTTGGATATTTATATGCGATTTTTCTATTATAAGAAAAGGCAGCAATATTTAGTGTAATTTTCGATAAAATTTAATATGAATAAAGATTGTTAATGTATGTTTCTATTAAATTTGTATATTTTACGATTAAATTTAGAAGAAGAAAAAAAAGGATAGTTTTGCAGCAGTTGTAAGCGAGCATACATGCAGCTACCACTTGCGTGCGTGAAAGACCTTATGAAAGATTATCCAAGAAATAGAAATCATTTTTACCAAAAAAAAAGAAAAGAAATAGAAATCATATACAACTTGTATACTGCAAAATAGAAAATCTATATAATGATTTCCGATTTTTGGACCGCAGCCTTAAAGGCTTTTAGCACTAATAACGTTTCGTTTGGACTCGTTTTTTTTTTTTGGTTACTTTTAGAAATTAAAATTTGGTACGATGGACCATATATCAAAGTATGCGCAGACCAGTTTCAACCATGTAAAAAATGTGGCGGCAAATTAAATGGGCTGTTGTAATATTATATATTAAATAATAATGGCATTATCTTGACGTTTCTTTTTTATTGTTTGAAAGACTTTTAGGTTAATTTAGTAACTAATAATATTTTCTAATAAAATGATCACAATTCATAAATTATCTGAAAAATACCAAAAATATTTAATTTTTAAAGCACGTAAAATTAAAATATTAGTTATCGATAAATTCAAAATAAACACTCATCTCCTAAAATACATCCAAAAAATCTAGTATATTTATGAATTTGTACATTGTGAGCTAAATTTAAAAGTTATTTTTGTAGTGATAATTTAATGTTATAAATGCCTTTTAAATGGAGATAAAAATGGATAAATTGATGAAAAATATAGATTTTTTTATATGCTTGTATAAAGATAAAGATGTATTAGGATTTATGGATAGTTAGAATTTTAATCGAATATTGTTTTAAAAGTGAATATTTTTGGCTATTTGTTTTCTAAGTTATCATAGTTATAACCTTTTTTAAAAAAATTGATTGTCTGTCGATGAATACATATACGACGCACATCTGTATATCTGTATATGCACAATACTATAATTAACGACGTTATGGTATATGTATTTATGTGCATGGAAAATTAAATAAAGCGTGCGAATAATACATTCCCATTTACCCAAAAAAACCAATACATTCCCGTATTGGTTGACCACCACTCAAAAACCACTACGAAAGTTCATACAACTTGAGCATTTGCCTTTGCTTTAAGGAAAGGCACCATATGATATACTGGTTTTCTTTTTTAATTATTTTAAAAACAAAATCCAAGATAAGTAACGCCTATCATTTTCATATTTACAAAACTATAAATGCTAAGATAGGTCTTTGCCGATTTATAGTATATTTTTTTATTGTCCAAAAATTTATCGAATATTCGACTCAACTACATCTTTTAGAAACGCGAAAAAGATAGGATAAATTATCGTCTTACGACATTGTATCTGTGTGTATGTTCAAAACTCCCGTATCCATGCGTATGTTTTTTTTTACATGAAACGCTGAGGTCAATATAGTATTTTTTTTGGTAAAGGTTACTTTCTATTACTCACTTAAATATTAATCATGCATATAATCATTGCACTTGCTTGTCGCGCAACATGTGTTGTACTTGTTGGTTTAGTGCTCTATGATATACTGATTATGAGCTTTGTTCAGATACATTCGATGTATTGATACTTTCTATATGTTTTTTTATGAGAGTATCTTGTTCATTACATGTTCCTGCATGCTAGATCTGTTATGAAATCCATGTATCATTATGAATGATACTAAACTCCCTAGTCTTGTGTCATTATGGGAATAACGACATAATAAGACTAGTATGATGTGTGATTGATGATCACATAGATGATCATAGGTATTGGATACGATCACAATCATAGGTATTCGTTGCAGAACGGAATACTGGACTGACCCGCATGAGATTGTCACATGGACTAGCGTCATGACTT